CGGCGAACACTTTTTGCGGGCTCATATATGTACATATGTGTGTATGTGCATTGATTCATGATTTTCATCTCCTACGATGCAATAAACGTGTTTAAAACGGCAGTACTTTGGTCAAGATTCGGCTCCAATTGTCGCGAGTCTTTTTCTAAGCGAATGATGCGTCATTTAATGCAAACGAATCTTGACGTTTAATTCATTTTTTTAGCCGCAAAAGAAAAACAAAAAAAAGAAGCAAATTTGTAATTGCCGACATATAAAAGGCAGCGTACTTAAAATAGAGCCCACACATACCGATAATAGAAACTATATGATCAGCAGTTTCGTTTTAACGATATTTCGGATCGAAAATCTAATATATTTTGTAATGTAATGTGAATGGTGAAAAATGTTGTCTACTTGTAATATTTTCGCGGCCCACTATGGTAATTGGAGGAATAGTGTTTCTTCAGTGAGAGGGTATATGGTTCCGACCGGTGCAGACGAATATGTACATACAAGATATATACAATTTTTAAAGAAAGACTTTTTTTACTTATGCATTTTGTATGTGTGTATATATTCTATTTATTTCTTCCATTTTTTAAATACTATCTTCAGTAAAAATTGTCCGTTTTCATTTAAGTGTTTTAAAATTGCAAATACATAATGCATACATTACCGTATGAACTTCATCCAATGTTAAGTGTTGATGTTCAATTTTTAATTTCATGTTTACGAACTTCAAACATAGTACCTTAAAATTTAAAAACCAACGCCGTTTTTTTTTATATGTATTACAATCCACGGATGCTTATCAATTGTTTCGGTTCGTTTAAGCTTAAGGGTTAGCAGATATTTTTCAATTAATTAAATTGTAAAATGACGTGCTGTATAAGAAAAACTTATTGGGCCGTAGCTACAGCGGTTTGTTGTACAGGCGTGGATGTGTATTTGATTTGTTGGGGTGCATTGCTTCTAGTGGCGATCACGTGAGTCTGAACGGCTTCGACGATCCCTTGAAAAGCTCCGGCTGCGAGTGCGCGAACGACGTGGGGAGCGCGATCTGCAAATAGATGGGCGATTTGTTCGTGCGTAGAAAAAAGGGAAATAGGGAAAGAAAGAGAAACATAAATTAAATCCAATTTACACTTGATAGCAATAGATGCAATAGACAAAAATAGTTTTGTAGGCGGCCCCACATATTATATCATTAAAGAACACAACTGGGGAAGCTGGGCCGACTTGATGAAGATTTCGTTTTTAGCAGTCTTTCAGCCCGATTGCGTTGTTGGTGTAGCATAATTAAAGTAGTTGTGGTGATTGGTAGCTTGGTTGGATTTTGATGACGGTACTGAGAAGACTTTTGTTGTTGCAGCTCATTCGATCAATGTATTGTTGAGTTATTCTTGTATTGTAAATAGATTGCAACTAAGGTGTGTTTTTGGTGGTAATTGTTGGTGGTGGTTGGAGTGGTAGTAGTAGCTATTGTAGTGGGAGTCATGTTGGTGATGGTAGTGGTATTTAATATTTGTATCTATATATACATGAGCAAAAATGTATGTTCTCGCCCTCGATTCCGTAGAGCGTCAAAGATCATTTGATCTGAATCGTAATTTCCACAGTATGTACCTCAATTACATTTCTGATGTCAAGACTGTACCGAACATATACTGCAAATATCTTTATTTAAAAAAAAAATTAATAGAACTGTAAATTGAACGGTGGAGGCACGATTTGCAATGTATTCGATATTATATTACTTAAATTTTTTTAAATAGGTTTATTTTCCATTTTCTTTTATATTGTTACCATGATCAATTTCTTATAAAGGACGTTTTCTTTTTGTACGTGGTTTATCTTACCTATTAAAGAAATAATAACAATAATGGAGTAGGTAAAATTTTAATAGATTAATTTGAGGCACCACGGGACACCCTAAGAAAATGAATTCTCCAGGCCCAAATTTCCACCACTTTTATAATTTGAAACTCGCGAATAGTGCACTCATTGTTGGTTTCCAAGGCTGAACTCGATGCTGGGTTGTCCATTGACCAATGATTACAAGTACCCCCACAGCATTCCAGCGGTGACAGTGCGCAGTCTTTTTATTTTTGGTTGTTTTTTGTTTTCGCAGGCTCAACTGGTCGATAATGTGCGCTGATTTTGGAAACAAATTTCCACAATTTTCTGGCCTTAATCTTTGCGACGGCTTGTCAAACATTGATGTGTATACTTATGAAATTGGTTCTTCGATAAACGAAAGGCTTTTGAGTGCTTTCACGTTAAAATAAAAAAGTAAATAACGAAAAAAAACCGTTTGCATATGAATCTTTTAATGAGTGCATTGAAAATTTAGCAAGTGTTGGGCAGAGATTCCATTTACAACCCCACTGCACTAACTATGTAAATAAAACGCATTAGAAATGTTTGACTTTGTGTCTGGGGTGTGAAACTAAGACTGGATTTAGAGGGTATTTAATTGCGTTATTCGGCCGTCCCATTTAAAGTTCCCCCGGTTACTCTCTAACTCTAGGAAATAGTCTCATACTACTGTTCGATTAAAATTGAAATCGTTGAATTTGTATATTAAAATTAATCTGTGAAAATAGATTTTCAACAATTTCAATAGTTGGTATGAATATTTAAAGATTATTATATTCCACAATTCTATAGTAATTTATACCTCGTACGCCGTTTATAGTTTGAAAATATAATACAAAGCTCATATGTTTGACGTTAATGTCTTTCTTTGATTGCCTAATACTATTTTGACATGTTTGAACCAGTCTTTGAAAAGTGTCAGCACAGCTCAATAGTAAAAGTGTGCGTCGTTTTATTGCGAAATAGTTTTAATGACCGCAAAAATTTTGTCTTTTCTGGTGGAACACATACATATATCAAAAACATGGTCGCAGATCTGCAGACATTTCATTTCTTATTGCTATGTTCATGCCGTTGCAATATTCTTGTAATATTATTGACGTTCCACACATACATACATATGTATATAATCGAAGTCCATAAAGTTGTGTACTACAAACCACAAACATAAGGAAACAGTTTTGTTTCCTCTACATTTGTTCATTTCGATAGCACACGGTACAAAAATGCAACAAACTTCACGCGTAAGAAAACCCCCTCGTATATATTATACATATGAATGTATATATTATTAGTACCAGGAAAACATGAGGTAACTTTTCAAAGGCCACGGTGGATACTCATTTTTCTGAAAACATCTTTAAAGGAAGTTCTAATCGGAAATGTAATCTTTGCCCATATTGTTGTTATTCTAATTCAAGTGTGACTCGAAACACACACATACACGCGCTTTAAAAGATTGCAATTAAAGTATATATAACTACGCATGTCATATACACATACAAGTATGTAGTATAATAATGGTATCGCTTATTTTTTGAGCTTGAGTTTAATGCCTTTTGAATAAAAAGTTTTAATTTTAAGGATTTTTTCAAATAGGGAACAGGTGTGTTTTGAGGTCTATTTGCCCATTCCATATACAAATTTACCTATTTTACCGGTTGATAAAATCAAAAACTTGCCAAACAGTCGGAATCAAAAAAATTCTTAGAAATTGCAGTCATTAATTTATTCAGGGTATTTCTTTTAAGAAAAACGGAAGGATCAATTACATGGTCTAAAAGCATATCGAGCAACTGTTTATCTCGTTAGCCGGGATGGCGTTCACGATGTCGGTAAAAGCCTTTTGGGTGGCTTCTACGTCCTAAAAACGCTTTTTTCATCGGCAAATGCATTTTTCCGAAAAGGTAAAAGCGACACGGTGCCAAAACAGGCAAATAAAAGTGACGAACATTTTTTAACAGCGTACTCATGAACTCTGGTAATAAGTTTATCAATTGCACCGTTTCGGTAAAATATTAAAACAAAACTTAGTTCAATGCTGATTTTTGTTTCGATAACACAAACACTTTAGACGCAATACCTCCTCCTAAAGTGGAGCGAATGCCATTAAACTTGTACTGAAAGTCGGTAAGGGATGTACCTTTCCGACTAACCGTCACATACGGATGGCGCCATCACAAATGCCCTATGCCTGTTTGGAACGGACATAATGACGGTTAGCATAATGTTTATTGATATTAAACAAACTAACAATGGAATTGAGAAATCAGGCATGGAAATAGACCTTTGTGTGTAAGCCATAGATTCTTTAGGTTCGTATGACGAGCCTTACAATTTTGCAGGAGAAAAAACTAAGCTGAGCAGGAACAATCAAATTTGTATATAAACAAATTTAAAATTCACCTCTAAAAGCTAGACAAAGCAATTAGACAAGAATTTGATTAAAATGCTATTAAAGCAATGTTTTTTGCTTTTTCTGCCATAAAAGCAATTAGACAAGATCTTGATTCAAATGCTTTAAAAGCATTGTTTTTTGCTTTGTTTCCGATAAGTGATACGTATTCGATGTCATTATACAAGGTTTTATAAACATTGAGCGCGGCTGAACAAAATATTAGAGGACAAACGAAATTGGGATATGGTATTTTTCCAGCTTGCACCTATAGTTCCTATACAGAGTTGGAACAAATGTCTGTACATGACCGATTCAGAAATAAGTATGTATCCCTATACACGCAGTGTTAAGCCCTGTAACACAGCTGTTTCACATCATGTCAGATATATTTACTTTTTATAGACTTTTGTTGAACCTTTCACCAGTTATAAATAACATACAAGAATTTTAAGAAAAGGCCTACACAATGCAAAAGTGCGACAGCTTTAAAACGGGGATGTCAATGCTATAAAAACTAAGATCAACAAAGACTTTCAATATCAGGGTATGGTGTGGGACTTTAAAATGTAGCCTATATAGAAAACAACACAAGTTGAAAAAAAAAAAAAAAACATTAAGCTTAAGTGATTTTTATAAAATTAAAATATAATAATTTCAACTTTATCTTCATTTTCTTTAAATTGTCTGATTCTGATCAACGAGGATTTTTTTCAGAGATATCAAATTATTATTATAAATTGTATATTACATTGAAATTTACCCGTGTAGCAGATATAACTACTATCTATTTAATTCATGAAACCCATTAAGCCTTTATACCCGGGGAGAAAAAATTGGCATTCCGGCCGAAATTCAGAATTTCAAAAATATTAGTAAATTAGGAGAAACGTAACGAAGGATAAAGTAAAGGATAATTCAAGCGAATTTTCAAATGTTGCAAAGCACCTACAACATTTGTACAGATTGTACGTTTTTCATTTTTGATTCTTAAAGCTAGCAACATTTACTAAATTTTAAATTGACAATTCGACACATGTAAGAGTTGCTTTTTTACAGCGACCTTGCAATGCTTAAATTTAATGCCATTTAGATCTATAGAAATAATATACTATAGGTTCTAATATTGCACTTAAGAGCGGTACGTTGCCGTAAGATTTACACATATTTTACATGCATATAAGTATATACATCTACGTATGTATATACTTATATATATGTATGTATTTCCGGCCAGGCGCTGACGGAAGTAGGATTTTGTCGCCGAGAAATTATTTAAATGCTGATGGAATGCGTTAGTCTGTATTGATTAACACTTATAATTGTGCAGTTTTAATACGAAAAAAGTAAAAACACAATCTGTAAATATTTACACATACAAGTAGTATATACGTACACAGACAGACAGTATATGTATGTATAGTGGCGAGCAAAATTGAGTAATAAAATGACCGTATATTTGTTAGATTATTAGCTATAAAGGAGCAAAACTACTATAGCGATAAATGAGGCGGGATATATAGGAAAAAATAAATACCAGCTAAAGTCTAAATAATGAACTTGATCACGTGCTTCCTTTTCCTGCTAAATATATTCCCACAAACTTAAGGGCATTGAAATATTAAGAATTCTGTATCCACAAGCGCTTGTTAATTTAACCGTTATTTGCTTTCATTCTACTATATTCTATAAATAAGTTATAAGAATATTATTTTATTTGTGCCGCATTGCACGTAAGACAGATATTCATGAGAAACTCCCCTAAATTAGATTGAAGTTTGTGCTATTGGCCGACTAATCCATTTACTTAAATTCTTACTCTGATAACGTATACTGCACGTCATCATCTATTGTCGAAGACAAATGATTTAGCAGGCAAAGCCGTGAGCGAGGGGACTATGTGATTCGAATCAGGATTATTAAAAGGAACAACCTTTATTGGAGAACAATACAAGACTACATCGAAAACGTGGTTAAAATAATATGTATGCATTGAAGCGGCCGCATTATCTGTATGTAATTAATTCTACAACAAATTATGCCCCACAACAAAAATGTTATTTTTGTTTTTTGATTACAGGCTCGTTGTTTTCTTTTATTTTTCTGCTTTGCTCAGTTCGGCGAAGCGACAAATCAATTAACTCAGTTTTGCTCGCCAATGTATGTACGACTTATAAGCACCCTAACAAGAGCACACAAATTTGAGTTAGTAATTAAGCAATTTTTCGGTTATAAGCTTGGTCTATTATATATTATTTGCGAATTTATATACTTGCGGTTGGAGAACTAGAGTGAAGCAGCAGTAAAAGTTGGAGTGTTGTGATGTTTTTCTTTTATCAATAGTTCTTTAGCAAATTTTGTGCTCCCGAGAGTGAAATATGCAACACAGGCGTTCGGGAAACTCTAATGTGCTTGTAAGATGGGGCAGCAACAACTGAGGCCAGAGCATTTACACGTAAACGGTAAACTAACTGAACATATTACGCTGGAATTGTGCTTCCGTCGCATTTAGTTATGGTAGCTGTTGTGGTTGATTGATCGCTGGCGTTGGTGTACATATTTGATTTAGATTTGCTTGAGTGGTTGCTGGATTGCAGTTGGTTCTTGTTGTTCTTATGATGGTGAAGGTTGATGATTAGTTTTGTTAAATATAAAAAGTTATTGTGCTGTAATAAGATACTAAGGATGAAGGCTTTCGGTGCTTCATAAAATAAATCGACGCCTGATGCTGCGATGGCTGATTGAAATTTGTTGAATCGTAGAAAAATCAATCGAGGGTGTTTGATTTGGACATGTTGGTTTCGCACACATAAATATGTTTATATTTAAATATTGCAGTTGATACATGTGTCGATATGGCAATTTGTGTTGAATGTATCTGTAGTCGTGTTGAAAATTATCTATGACTGGAGTATGTTTATCATGGGTATGAGTATGCGCTTTATTCCTTATTATGTTGTTGTTGCTGTGATTAAATTTTAAATATATATTACAATATAGGATGCCTGACTGCCTGACTGACTTTTGAGGATTATGATCTAGAGGAGCGTATTTATGTACTGTTTTAGTTTTTAGCCCGTGCCAACAAAATGTATCATGCTTATTGTAATCTGCGTCTATTTTAAAGGTACAATTTTGTTTTATTTTTTGACTAGCGTTTGATATTGTGTAGTGGTGGTTGTAGCTATTGCTGTGTATATTGGTGTTGTTGTTGTTGTTCTTGGTGATATTGGTAAGTTTGATTGTTTTGTTGGTGAGATATGTGTAATAATAGGAGCAGGATCTGTAGTAGTTGTGAGACGTGAAGATGTTCTTGTTGTTGTAGTAGTAGTTCTTGTTGAAGGAAGAGGAGCTAGTAGTAGAAGTTCTAGTAGTAGTAGCTGTTGTTCTTGTCGTAGTAGAAGTAGACTTTATCCTGCAAAATGATTGTGAAACCACATTTAAATTTCCTGCATTTGAATTTTCATTTACGCATTACTATAAGACTACAATTTACCTACGGCTAAGCCGCATATAACAAATTGAATTAAAAACAATAAGCTATAAGTCACAAAAAACATTACAACAGCCGTGCGAAAGGGAGATTTACTGAAATCGTCTGATTCTGACATTTCCCTTTATTTCTACATACATACATATGTATATGGACAATCGGGTCTTCGGCTTATATGCAAAATAAAAATAGATTTATAAGCCCCCGAATTATTAATTCCTCTTCTATCAAATCGCAATTAATATAAACACGGACTTCACAGCCAAGAGGCTAAATAAACAACGTATTCCATATACGCACCATACCTGTGCGTGCACAGACGACATTTTTTTTTTGTGTATTTTATAGGTATGTATGTATGTATACACACGTTTTCTATCGTGTTTGAGTATATCGATTTTTTTTTGTCTGCTTATACATATGCAATGGACTATTCTTGTAGCTATGTTGCGATATATAATTTATGGATTAATTAGCCCAAGTATTCTATAAACTTACCTATAGCGGCTACTATCGCCTGCACGGGTGCCGCCACCGCTGCCACTGCGGCCCCCGCGACGACCACCACCACCGCGGCCTTCACGAGAACGCCCTGAAGACATTTCGACACGTATTCTAGTTCCACAGCAGCGTGTGCCATCCAGACCTCGCGTTGCATCCTCAGCATCTCGACGATCTTCGAACTCGACAAAAGCAAAGCCTGGGGGATTTCGAGCTACCCAGACATTTCGCAACGGGCCGTACTTGCTAAAGGCATTTTCTATTTCATATTTCGAGGCCGATGATCCCAAATTACCCACGTAAACTTTACAGGCCAGGTCCCATTCACGATAGCGTGGCATCTCTTTACGGTTTTAACTGTATCTTAGTTTTAATTTGATTGTATTTTGCCGTAAACCAATGCTGATGTTTCCAAAAAACTATTCTTTAGGTATACCTGATACACACAATGTCCGTACCAATGCGAACACAAGCCACAGGAAAATAGAGAAAATGTTATGAGCTCTAGAGATGAGCGATAGTTATATAACATAAACTTGTAACGAGCTATTCATAGTAGTGAAATTATACTAACAGTCCCCAAATAAATGAAAACTTATTATGTTAAGAAACAATATTAACTTTTATAACAAGACGACCACAAATTATTATTATTAAAAGTAATATTTGGAAAAAAGGGTAATATCAAAATTAATTTTGCTTGCATATATGAATTTCAAATCAGTCATCTATGTTAGTATTTCGAGACTAAAAGTTCTGTTAAAGTAAGTATTAAACTTCTGATGACAATTTTAGGATCGTTTTGACGCAAAGCAGTAAACCTATATCGCTACGCACATAATAATTAATAATTGATCTCGAGGGACTAGTTTTTAAAAAACTTCTAGCATTAACAATGTAAAAATGTGTGCTCTCTCCGCTTATTGTTGTATTCTAATATATTACAAAAAATACTGCAACTCGATCAAATTTTTACATTTAATTAATTAATAAGCAAAAATAAAAAGAAAATTCAAAGGAACACATGGAGTGTTTGTATATATGGACATACGTATGGACAACATATACATACGTACCTCGCTTAACACGGTACGTTCCTACAAAACGTCGTGTTAAGCGAAATCGTGTTAAACGAGCCATGTACTCCATAAAAATACCATTTCTTTTACGTTCCTAGACTTCGAAAAAGGCATACAAAATAGTTTTACTATTTAAATTATTAGTTTCCAAAACATAAAAAGGTTTATTCAAGTGGCAAAAGTTTTCCAAAAAATAAAAAGAGAACACATATGTACTATATATTACATATATTAAAATAAAGTGGAAATCCATTTGGTGGCATTTATAATCTGTAACGATGCTACTTTGCCGCGGGTATACTCGCCGTCCAGAGTTGGCTTAATTTTAATTGATGGGCATCCCAAAGTGGAAATATTGAAAGGCGCGTTTGCGATTTTCCAATTTTACTTTAACTAATTCACATGGCCTATATTTTCACGTCCACTCCTGAACACCTCCAGACTTCGACTAACCTAAAACTAAACTCAAGCCACGTTTCTTACTTACCTTACTACAGAATTCAGTACATATCAATTTATATACTAAACTTATAAACTAGGCTTACAACTTCACCCACGCCTTATGCGCCTACAGCCATCTCGCTCGTAACGACGCCCTGCGTGTCGCAGCATCCAACGAGCGCATCGTCACACATCCCCCTTTCCCCAAGGGGCCGAACGGGCGCGATCGGTGGTGTTTTCGAATTCTGCCAGCATCGCGCCACAATCGAAAGGCAGGTGACTACCGGGTGGGTGGCAGCGCTACCACCCCTCGCATTTGGCAACGTGCCGACGCCACCTATAACTTCACAGTCAGCTACTCGCGCTGCCGTTCTGTGGCTTCGCTGTCTTCACTCTGGCAGCTCGTCATTTCCGCCACGCGTTTGAATTCAAATTCCGGTGTGCGGAATATGTTAATGATTGCTGGGAAACGATCTGCATCTCGCTTCAAAATTACTGACCATATCTTCTAGTCGCAGCGTGCGTGGCCTGTCGCCGATGGACTACCTGTAGTAGGCGTCAGCTGGTTATGTGCCAGTGGCATGCACGTGCGGTTTAAAACTCGGTGTACATTTTATGAAGCGTCGACTGCAGCCAGTGCAACGGGCCTCCCAACGGTGCCGTCGATGTATCATTTGTGCTACATGTGACTGAAACGTAATAAAATCGATTACGTCTGCAGGCTTACGTGGACGGTATTTTTCTGCTTAGAACGCCTGCTTAGATTGTACCGACGCTTGACCGGCTGTGGCTGTGCTGGCATCGCCGCCATGGCAGCCGCTGCGGAGCGTTGCCTCCACTGTTGTCGCCACCTGTCATTGCGGCTGCCCGCGTCGCCACTACTGTCTTCATCAATATTGCCGCAGCCGATGCTGCACTGTTGCCGCTGCTGTTGATGTCGCCACCGCTGCTAACGTTGACGCCGCCGCAGCCGCCACTATTATGTTGCTTCTGCTTACGCGGCATCGCACTCGTCGCTTTGCCGCTGCCTCTGTCAACGTTCCTGCTGCAGCTGGTCTGTCGCTGTTGCATGCATTTAATGCCTTTAGATCTCGCACATGCGCCGCTCTGCCTCTGCCGCCCGCTACTGGTCGCTAGCGCACTATGACGTCTTCTTGTCCGCTTCTAGCCACTGCTAGGCCTTGTAGCACTTTCACAACCGGCACCGGCGCATATACAGTGTCCTTTAAACATTCCCTTCAGCAGTGAGACTTCGTTCCTGCACAATTTTATAAGGTCGTGTGTCCTTTTTGCGTTCAGGGGACGTCCATGTGAATCGAGCCCAATCACACGTGTGTGTACGGCCCCAGCGCTGCTGGGTCATTGAAAGGGCGTGGTGCTTAGTCTGCAGCCAAAAGAAAGCTAAAGGCATACTTATACCCTCCTTTTCAGGATCGATGAGTACGGTCGCTCTCTCCCTCGCTAGCTCATCTGCGATGCAGTTCCACTCAAGGTTGCGATGTCCCGGTATTCATATAAGATAGTCCCGGTAGTCTGTGATCTGTGAATACATTGATGGCGTCGGATCTGATTTGTGACTGGCATTCCAATTCTGTTCTTGTGGGAATCCTCACCGTGTACTCTTTTTCAAAGGTTGCGCTCGGTATGCAGCAGTCCGAGTGGGTCGCAACCCCCGGGTGACGGCGCAGTATGCTAATGCCCCTTGGCTGAGTCCTTCCTGAAACAGTTCTGCAAACAGCTGTGGGCAGAGCTTGGCAAAGAGTATACTTATTGATCTTCCTTTTTATTTGATCTATTATAACGAGACTTAACATGACAACACATAAGCACTATTTAAATGTAATGGTCGAATTCGAGTACATGTTCCAATAACGGCCTGATTTTTCCGCTAATAAGTCCTGGCAGCCAAATAGGCCGCTGTGCCCCGACTCACAGCGAGTGATTAGTATTGCATTAGTGCAAGTGTATTTAATAATGGTTAGTTAAGTATAAAAGTGCTTAAGTTACTAGGGGTTTGTATAAAATAAATTAAATGGTAGAGTTAATTATAATTTGAACACAGAACACGACAAGAAGAGTAAAATGCGAAATTTGACGTACAGTGCTGAAGATGTAGAGGCCTGAAATTTCTTGAAGGTCTAGAGGGAACTATGAAGCTTATAAGATTAATTAGGTTGCTTGAAGAGATTTCTCCCGCCAGTAGCTTGTAAATAAAAATTACGCCATGACAGGTTCTACGATCATGCAAGGTAGGGAGATCGATCAAACGTAATCTGTCTCGATAAGGTGGCAAACGTCGCTTGGGATCCCATTGAAGGCCTCGCATGGCAAATAATATAAATTGTTTTTGGACGGACTCAATCATATCCTGGTATTTCTTATACTGGGGAGACCATACATATTCCAAAATGGGACGAACGATAAATGTATAAAGAATCTTAGTTGTGTACGACCATCGTTTTATGAAACCCAGAACACCTCTTGCTTTACCAACCATATTTACAATATGGGTATTATAATTAAGCTTGCAATCGAATGATACACCAAGATCATAATAATCTAGTAGATAAGAGAAAATATGAGGTTTACTTCTATAAAATGACAACTTTGCTTTTGGCAACATTAAGGTATAACATGTTGGAAGTACACGACGATTGTAAACTATTAAGATCAGGTTGAAGTAGTTGATGCTCGCTAATATCAGATAACGTAAGGCGGAGCTTAACATCATCCGCATACATAAGAACACGAGAATGATTTATCACTCAGGGTAGGTCATTAATAAAAAGGACAAAAAGCAGAAGGCCAAGGTGACTTCCCTGTGGCACGCCCGAGGATACATATATAAGCTTTGAGATCGCACTATGGGAAAAACCCTTGAGTAAGACCACTCAGATATGAACAAATCCAATTAAGCAGTAGGGACGGAAAACCAATTAATTGTAATTTTAATATAAGCATATCATGATTGACAGAGTCAAAGGCTTTACCAAAATCAGTATAAACAACGTCGGTTTGTCGATTTTGTATAAATCCATCAATAACGTTTGAAGAAAACTCGAACAGGTTAGAGGACGTTGAACGGAACTTAATTAAACCATGTTGTGCATCAGAGAAAATAGATGAAAAATCGCTAGCTTTTTAGCGAAAACGACAACAAGATTTAACTATTTATCAAATGAGACGCGGTGTTCTTTGATTATTAATATGGCTTTTAATGGCTTGGTAATTGTGCAAAACGATGTTGACCGTGCGAGAAGTATTTAACAAGTGATTTGCCTGCTGCCGCTACAAGTCAGCGGGCCGGCATAAAAAAGGTAATGCACAAAGAGAGCGCAGTAAAGGGCGCGATAGAGAGCGCAACAGAAAAGGTTTAGAAGTTAAGTAGGGTGCTCCAACAATAGATTTACAATGATGTTGTATCTGAGATGTATTCATTTTTTCGTACATTTTTGGTATGGCCGATAATTTGGCGATACCTCTGTAGTTCTCAACGTCAGCCTTGTTCCCCTTCTTGAAAATGGGAGTGATAAAAGATTCTTTCCATAGAGAAAGAAAATAAGAATTTATAAGAGACCAATTAAATAGTTTTAATAGAGGACACAGTATTTTAAAACACATCTGGATACCAGATGCAGAGACTAAGAAAAGGATAACAAAAGGAAATGTACAAAGAGAGCAAATATTGAGCGCGATCAAAGCAAACATTATAAGAGTTAAACGTGTAGCGCTTCTTGCTTCGCAGAGCAAGGTACAATCTGTATATATGAATAATTATGCGTCTGCTGCGGACGACTGCTCTGCCTGCGCCTGCTGCTTGACCAAACATCATCCCCCCGTTGGAAGGCACGGGCTTCCAACCTCATCCTCTTTTGGCAATGCACACAATTTGCCAACGCTCGTCTAATGATTCCAGTTGCAGTCTGCAGCACCACGACCCTCGAAACACCGTCAG